CCACTGTTTCTTTTTCTTGGCCTGTCTATTTATTCATCTCAGATAATCTTTGATTCATTTTTTTACAGAGGGTTATGGGCAGTAAATTTTCTGAGTTTTTGCCTGTCACCAAATTATTTTTTCCACCATTTCAACCCCACTTGGAAGAGGTATGGAATTTTAGGTTCAAAATAATCCTCCCTCTCGTCTCAGTGGTTTCGTTCCCGTATCCTCCAGCACTACTTTTGTAGGTAAGAATTCGGATGCAAATGGGAGCCTCTTTCTTTCACAGAGGGTTGCCAGATTTAGCAAATAAAAACACATGCAATATTTGGGACATGCTTATTCTAAAAAGTTATTGATTGTATTTCTGAAATTCAAATTAAATGGGCATCTGGATTTATTCTGGTAACACTACTTTATAGTTAACCTGGGTTTTGTGGTAGTTGTTTTCTCTCACCGCCCTAGAATTTATTCTTTACCTCGATATTCTGAGATTCCCTTGGGCAGCGCCTGCTGGTGGAATCGCCCTTCACTCTGTCCGTCCTCGGTGGTCCTTCCACCTGCAAAACTGATGTCTTCAGTTTGGGGAGATGTTCCTCTATTGTTTGTGTTTACTTTCTCTCCTTTGTTCTCTCTGCTCTCACCCTCTGGCTCTCCTACTAGGTGTTATCCACGGATTTAAACTCCCTGTCGCTGTGTGAATGGCAAGATCAAGTTAATTAACCTCTCTTAGCTTCAGTTCCTGCATCGTGAAATCGATTTTAATAAAGCCAGTCTCGCAGCAACATCATGAGGATTAAATTTGCTTAAGGACATAAGACCCCTTGCATTGTGTGTGCTGTGGATCCCGCCCTGACTGTGCTCTCATGGAACTTCCCATATGGGATATCGGGTCCATGGCAGGATGGCACTTCCTGGTCCCTGCGGTGGTTTAGGGCCACGTGACTTGTTCTGGCCAATTAACTGTGAGCAGATGTTCAGCGTGTCCCTTCTGGGCTGGAGTATTTCATTGCCAGTGAAAGATCCATCAGGGCACTCTTATGCTTACCCACAATGAAGGACAATGTTCCAGATGGTGTCTGCTCTGTAAGCCGGATTCTGGAGTGAAGGCGATACAGGAGAGAGCCCTGCTGACCTTCAGTGGACACGCAGCATGAGTGAGAAATAGACCTTTGTTCCATGGCACTGAGATTTTGGGGATGTTTGTTACTGCAGCACAGCTTAGCCATGCTGACTGATACACGGGGTCAGCAGAAATTCCCTTCCCTTCAGTGCTCTGTGTTAATACAGTGAGTGCCCTGTGAGCATTTCCCAAGGGGTGCAAGCCTTACCCAGACAAAGAGGCTGTCTGTCCTTTGTTGGCCCTTTTTATTGAAGTCTGGGGGAGGAAGGCCACCCTCTAGTTTGAGCTGGTTCTGAGCTCTGGTCAGTTCAGCCAAGCTGTGGCTCAGCCTGGCGATGGCACTGATGGGAGACGGGATGGGGTCCAGAGAGCCACAATCAGAAGCTTCTCCTACTGACCATAGAGGAACCAATGTCCTTGTACTCATCGCTGGTGACCCACATGTCCTTGAAGGTAGAGAGTGAGCACAGGATGGAGCCACCCACCCAGGCGCCGTATCTGGAATACGGAGAGGTGGACACCTGGATGGAGGCGAGGAGGCAGATAGAGGGGAGTAGAGGCGGGAGGGCAGGGAAGGGAGGGAGGGGTCAGAGGGGAGAGAGGGAGAAACCAGAATTAAAATACTGCTCTACATTGGGGACACAAAATACCAATCCCTGAACGGACTTCACGGGCAGGCATTTCTTCCCCCGGCAAACACGATTTCTTCTAACCTTTAAAGATATTTAATGATTCACTCTAAAACACATGACACATTTTATACTATGCATTCTCTATGTGTAAGGCTTACATATTTTATAGAAAAATTAGAAAACACAAATAAGCAAAAAACCCCACAGGTAATCAACCTGGAGAGATCCCTTCTCCGTTTCATGCCTCGCTGTCTAGACTTTCTCACCCTCACACTGACACCTGTCACGTGTGTATTTCCTTCCCTTTCAGTTCCAGTAGCTTCTTATTCAACTCAGTCTCCTCTGGCCTGGAGGAGGGGAACATCATATCCATTTGCCAGGCGGGGCCACTGAGGCCCTGGAAGGTTAAATCCACCTGCTCCAGGTCAGACAGCCGTCCCCCCACGTACTCACTGATTTTCCTTAAGGCGCTTGGGCAGATCGTGAGAGGACATGTTTATTATTCTAGGACAGGAAGGTAACGCATCGCTGCAGGGATCAGCAGGGAAAAGGGATTTGGGACAAGGATTTGGAAAAGCAAGGCCCAGGCGGAGGGGGGAATAAGGGATGTTGCGTTGTCAGGTCCAGTTACTGATGCTCGCTGGCTTGGTCACACCTGTGCTTGGCTTGGAAACCATTTGCTGGTATGGGTTAAGACAAGAAATACTGCTGAAATTTTAAGGGAAAAAAAAGGAAAAGAGTCAGAAATAAGGTAGGGAAAAAGCACGTTCAGGGTCGGGCATCAGGCAGAGAAAAGAGCTGGTACCAGGCGCCCGGGATCCTCCATTCTGTCCTTTCTTCCATCAGTAGGGTGTCACACCGGACGAATCATCTACCCCACCTGTGTCTGATCTAAACAAACACACAAAATCAAACAAAAGCATGCACCAAACTGGAAGGATTCATGCATTCAGAAGAGAGCAAAACTGCCATCAGAAAAAATGACCAAAGGGTTGGAATAAGCAATTACAAAAATATGTTTAAAAAAAACAAAAAAGAAGAAGAGCAAAATCACAGGCAGCTAGGAAACACATGCAGACTCTTCACCGTCATCAGTAGTTAAAGGAATACAAATTAGAACAATCATTTGTTTTCCGTCTATTCTGTCGGGAAGAGAGTTTTTAGGACGATGGTCCCCGTGCTGGAATGAACAGACGGGAGTAAGAAGCCGTCTCTGCACCGACAGGAGCAGAGGTGGATGCTTCCACGGGCAATTTGGCCATGTGTTCAAAAACCCTTAACCTGTGCACACATTTCTGGATCAGGAAATCCACAACTGGAAATGGATTCTAAGGGGGGAAAACTATTCTGAAGAAATAAGGGGAAATCATGGCCAAAATTTTAACCCAAAAACATTATAATAGCGGGATTTGGGGTTGTTGGGAGAAACCGTTATTTTAACAGGTGGCCCCATGGGAACCAGTGTTTTCTGAAGGGGGGTGAGTTCGTTTTAGGGAGAGAATTCTTCTCTTCTTTAGGGGAACAATTTAATGAGCTCTGTGGATGATTAAAGGTGGGTCTACACCCTCCAGCACGGCTGCCCTCCTCCGCCTGCCCCTCCCTCACAGCTTCGTCAAATCTCTGCAAATCCTGTCACCTTTGCCGTCTGTGTGCATTTGGGGTTTGGCCACCTCCCACCCCTGCACGGCCTGCTCTGAGCCACCAGCGTCTCTCACTTGAATCACAGCATCAGCTTCCGCCTGCGTCCCGACGGTCTGCCCTCCCCCTCCCGACAGTCCGCCCTCCACACGGCAGCCAGAGCCGTCCCCCAGAGCCTGGCTGGATCGTGTCATTCCTCTGCTCAAAGCTGCTGGCAGTTTCCAGTTTCTCTGGGGGTAAGAGCCTTACACAGCTTCTCTGACCTCGTTTACCCTTCTCGCTCTTTCAACCCCAGCCAACCCTTCCAGCCCTTCCTCCAGGAAGCAAGCCTCTGGGCTGCTGCATGGGCTGTTCCCTCTGCTTGAAAGCTCTTCCCCAGATATCCACATGGCTCCCCCTCACCTCCTTCAAGTATTTACTCAATTGCCACCTTCCTGAGCAGACCCCTCCCGGTCACTCACCCTCCCTCCGTCCCTTGCCACTTTCCCCCGTGGCTTACATTTTATTGCATATTTGCCTCCGTATTATGTTGATTTGTATTGTTTATAGCTTCCTCCCCCAACTAGAAGGTAAGCTCCAAGGACTTGGGTCACTTTTGTTTACTGGTGCATCCCTAAGCACCTGGCACCATGCCTGGCACATCAGAGGCATTCTGGAAACACCTGTGGGATGAAAGGCGGAAGCCCCCAAAGGGTGGATGGGGAGGACCGTACCTTTACGTTGATTGTGGGGGTAACCAGGGCGGATATTTCTTTCTGCATCCGGAGCTGCAAGCCAGAACAGGAGCCAGTACCTCCGGACAATACGATGTGGCCAAAGAGAACCCTCCAGAGGGTGGGATTGCAGGAGCTGATGCTCTGGAAGGCCATCATGTGGATACCTAGGTTGTTCCTCCCTGTCAGGATGGGCGGGGAAGAAAGAATCTTGGGGGTTGGCTCCGCAGAGGCTCGGCTGGCTGCACACGTGGGCTCCTCCCTTCCAGCTGCAGGCACTGGGAGGTGGGGACCCCTCATCTCAGACAGCTCCACGTGCCATGGGCGGGCATTAGTGCCACCGACCACAAGGCCCTTGTGGGTTTCAACAGGTGAATGCATGTGAATTGCCCAGTACAATCATGGGACTCGACTGCTAGTGACTGAATAAATAAATATTAATTCTCCTCTCTCATCCGAGAGAATTTGTATTCAAGTGTTATTGACAATTATTACGGTATCCACTACTTTATGAAAGGATTTCTGTGGAGCCAGTGTCCTTGCTCAGGTAGCCTTTGAAAAATTATACTGATTATTCCTTTCTTGACTCATTGTGTGTCCATATAAATAGACTCAAACACGATGAGAGCAGCCCTTAAAAAGTGTGTGCAGTGCACTCCCTTCTGTTCAATATTGTGAGCTTCTGGGAAGAGGGGGTGGTGCTGTTGGCTCCTCGTTTTCCTCATCTGTGAGGGTACCTAGAGCAGAACCTTGGAAGAGGACAGAAAAGGCTGATTCCTGGGAATCGTGTGGGGCGCCCGGCCCAGCGGGCAAGTGCTGTGACTGTCTGTGCTCATCGTGATTGCGGTGTGTTCACACTCGCTGTGACCCGCCCGGACCCGGAGAGAAATGTCACATTGTGGGTGAAGAGTTTCATCCGATGGCTTCTTCACTTATGCAGTGAATATTTAGGGGGCATGTGCTGTGTTTGAAGCCGTCATCCCCCGCATAGCTAACAGGGAAAATGGAGACGAACACAGCTAATTTAAGCTGGATTAGAAACGCCACGTCCTTCCCTGGTACCGATCCTGGGGAAGTGGGGGGTCCCTTTGAGTTCCCTCTGTCCTTTATGAGTGTCACCCCGTATTTTTAAAATTTGATTCCAGGAAATAGTTGGTTTTCTGTGACTGCAGATTTCATCTTCCCAATCAACGGGATTTTATAATCCATCATTTTTTCCTGTTCTGCCATAGCTGCCAGGGAGCCTAGTCAGCTCAAGGCTCCTCTAAAATCTCTAGACCAGCCAAATTTTTAAAGTTCCCCTTAAATCTATGGTTTTGGTTTTTCTGCTTTAACTGTCTTAATTCTCATATTTCAAATTATTTTGTAAGTAGGTGGAGTATAAATAATACAAGAGAAGACGTGCCACCCGGCGTAGGATTTCATCATGTTTGGCAAATACTGAAGATGCTCCAGTGGGGTTCCTCATCTGTAAATGGGATCACGTGATATTGGGGGGATTAAAGGATATAACCCACGTACGATGGTCAGCAAAGTGACATGCAGACAGCAGGTGCTCAATACATGAGAGCTGATATCAGAGGAGCTTTTGAAATGGAATGCCGACTTGTGACTATTTGCTATCCAAAATAGAGTCCTCTCCTGGCCACCTCAGCCCCTTTGTCCTTACAGCGTGCCCGCTGTCCATGTCTGGGCTCATCCCGTCCCCTTCCCACCAGCTCACCTATGAGGTTTGTCTGGAAGAGCGCTTCGGGGCAGGAAAACCTCTCCCGCCCAATGTTGATCTCTCGGCCGTCAGGCAGCTGATATTTCTGTGCATTGGAAGGCGAGCTGGCTTTCATTTTTTCCTTGTTGAAGTCCAAAGCTACATGGCAACATTTCTCTTTCACGTCCCGGATGTACTCCCTGTCGGCTGTGGGAAATAGAAAAGGGTATGAACGTGAGACGAGTCCACAAAAGCATTTTTTCCCCGGGGGAGCATCTTTCTGAAGATTCAGCTCCTTGTGGTGGGGACGAGACAGCTCAATCGTAGCTGCTATTTCTGTTTTCGTCTCCTATTCTGGTACCTCTTGATCTGCAACGTGTGTAGGGGGCCCGGGCTTGTGGGGGAGAAGGTAGGATAGGGATGTCCTGAGCTGAGACGCAAGCGTTGGAAAATGTCCACGTTTTACAGGTTGATACCCTACTGTATACGGCGTGTGTTTGGGGGCAGCTGGAAGATCAAATTCAATTTCATTACCTATTAAAGTAGGAGGTGCCGTTGGTGCCCCATCCCCACCGGCCGTGAGTGTTGGCTACGAACAGCTCACAGCTGCCCCCTCCTCTGGAGAACTGCCTGAGCTGATGGAAGCCCCCTCGCCTGGAAATATCTGGAAGGTCACATCCCTCCCATTTCTGGGCGGCTGACAACAGGTTCTAGATCCAGCTGTGTCTTTTGGTGTTATGGTTTTATATTTTGTTTATCACTGATTTTGAGTTTGGATCGGAGGGAACTCCCCGCACCAGCTCGCCTGGGAATCCCGCTGATTCTTCAGCCCCTGACCTCTGACTCCCACCTTCGCCCGCTCCGCCTGAGCTGGTCTTGCTATGTCTATCATGTCCAACTGGTTTCAAAACCCTGCCACGCTCTTCACTTCATTCTTGACTTCATTCCCTCTAGCCACTGATGTGTGGCCAACATGGTCTCTGTCCTTGGCTTCTGGGACACTACACATTCCTGGTTTTTTCCCTTCCTTGCCCAGTTTGGGCATTAGTGAGACAATTCTAGGTTCAAGTTCCACCTCTGCCGTTCACCAAACGCACGGCGTTAGGCAAGTTCATTCTCCTCTTAAACTTTCCTTTCTCTCATCTTCAAGAATGAGATGAAGTACCACTCAGAGAATTGTTGTAAGGATGAGATGAAATAATGCACATAAAGATCGTGCTAAGTGTGAGATGTCAATAAAATGTCTCACTTCGTCCTGACCAATCCTTGCCTTTAATTGCTGCTATTCTTTAGGGTCCATACTTTGCTGGCTTTGCACACAGACCTCCTGCCTGGGGAGACCGGAAAGTATAATGCACGTTGTAGGCTTGTTGGGAATGGGTGTCATGCAGGTTATACAGGCTGGGAATCTAGTCCAGGAACTGGGTGAAAAGTGGGACAGGCACATCCTCATCTGGAGTCCTTAGGTTCACATCCCAGCTGCTACACCTACTAGTCAAGGGATGTTGAAGTTACCTGAGCCTCCTAAGCCTCTTCCTCTTGCAATGGAGATAATTGTTCCCCCTCATGGTGTTGTAGCATGCAGCAATGAAAGAATGTATGTTAAATGTTTACTTAGCCCAGTAGCTCGCACAGGGCAAGTACTCTGTAAAGCTTAGCTCATCATCATTGGCATCATCTTATCATCATCATCACACCCATCATTATCATCACCATCACCATTGCCACCATCGTCATCATCACCACCATCATCATCACACCATCATCACCATCATTACTACCATCATCACCTTCACCATCACCACCACCATCAGCATCATCATGACCATTACCACCACCATCATCATCATGACCATCACCCCCATCATCACCATCATAATCATCCTCACCATCACCACCATCATTACCATCATAATCATCATCATCATGACCA